ACAAGGGGTGAAGGGAGTCATATATATGGTGATGGACAAACAAAAATGTACAACCCAAAATTTCACAATGTTAGAAACCATTAAAACATCAATAAAAAAAAATGCTGGTCACAATTCATAAATCAATTTCATTACCCACTAATGGATCACATCCTACAACTTGAAAAATGCTGATGAATGATGGAAGAGAATTTTCTAAGTTTTTTTTTCTTGGGGACTTAAAATGTAAACATTGCCATTTTATGTTTCTAAACCACTCACTTTCTTGGTCTCATCCAAACCTTGTTATCGCAAAATTGCACCAGCTCCAAAATTGTATATACAAGCATCCTGCTCGCAGACTACAACATTCTGTCTTTCTAGGTTATGTGCCCAATTACTCCCACTACTATTCTTTAATTACATTTAGACCACATTGATTTGCAACTTTCTTTCTTAGCCAACTTAGCCAATGTTAGCCATGGTCTAACGTTGTAATCACATCCTTTAAAAGATACCCAATTCCCATGTCTTTTCTTCACCTTGCGAAACGCCAAATCTTGATGAACTAGACAGTTCTTTTTACCCACACATGTTTCAGCACATGAACATAGAGGGAGAAAATTGTACGATCAGAAAGACTGGTTTCATTTAAAAATTGTCTCAAACTTAGAATCGTCTCTTAGCTCTGCCTTACAGTCCTACTACTCTGTGATAATGACTATTTCATATCTACTTTCTCTTCATCCCTCCTCCCCCATGTGCTTTCTACCCTCTCCACCCAGCTGATGATCTAATCCAATGGTTCTCAAAGTGTGGTCCCCAGACCAGCAGCATGAACATCATCTGGGAACAAATGATGAACAGATGACAGGAATGAAAATTCTCAGGCCCTACTCCAGGCCTACTGAATCAGAAACTTTCGGGATGGGAACCCAGCAATCTGTTTTAACAAGCCCTGTAGGTGATTCTAATGCACCCAAAAGTTTAAGAACTACTGATCTAGCCTCATACTTCATTGAGAAGCCATTCTCTAGAATGTACACTCCAAAGGCAAGGGTTTTTTGTCTTTTTTGGGTATTATATCCTGAGCACTAGAACAATGCCTGGAATACTGTAAGCCTCAATAAGTTATTGTTGAATCAAACCATTAGATGAGAACTCTCTTATTTTCCTACTAAGAAATCTAGAAACCTACCTACATCTGGACCCATTTTCTTCCTTCCTTTCCAATTAAGGAAATATGCCTCATCCTATCAAAGGTCAGTATTTCCATACATGGATTGGATCTCATCCCTTCTTGCCTTCTCAAGAACTTGCTCCTATGGTCATCCCCTCTCCCCTGCATTATCTATCAATCTTTCTCTACTAGATCATTCATTTAGTATATAGTCAGATTCTACACCATTCTAAAACAACAAACATTCTCTGTTCCTACATCCCCTTTCACTTATGCCCCATTTCTGTTTCTCTTCACTGCCACGCCTCCTTGCCACTCACTAACGCCTTCTAATCTGATTTTCACCTCCACTATTCAATAGTTCTTCACAAAGTCAATGATTATTTTAACATCTTTATTGAGATATAAGTCACATACTATAAGTTACCCATTTAAAGTGTACAATTCAATGGTTTTAGTATATTCAGAATTGTTTAACCATCACTGCAATCTAAGATATAGAACATTTCATCATCCCTAAAAGAAACCCCTTACCCGTTAGCAGTTTCTCCCTACTCACCTCACCCCTCAGCACTAGGCTACCAATACTTGACTCTTTTTATGATTTGCCTATTCTGGACTTTTCATATTAATGGAATCATACAATAATGTGGTCTTTTGTGACTGGCTTCTGTCACCATTAAGTTTTCAAGGTTCATCCATGTTGTAGCATGTATCAATACTTCATTCCTTTTAGGGCTGAATGATATTCTATTGTGTGAATATACTGCCTTTTATTTATCCATAATCAGTTGAAGGACATTTGGTTGTTTCTACGTTTTGGCTATTATGAATAATCCTGCTATGAACATTCATGTACAAGTTTTTGTGTGGATGTTTTTATTTCTCTTGGATATATTACGAGTGGAACTGCTGGGCCATATAGTAACTTTATGTTTAACATTTTAAGGAACTGCCAAAGCAGCTGCACCATTTTACATTCCCACCAGAAATATATGAGAGTTCCAGTTTTTCCACATACTCACCAACATTTGTTATAACCTATCTTTTTGATTATAGTCATCCAGTGGGTGTGCAGTGGTATCTCATTGTGGTTTTGATTAGCATTTACCTAATGACTAATGATGTTGAACATCTTATGTGTTTATTGGCCATTTGTATATCTTTGGAAAAATACCTATTCAGATCCTTTGCCCATTTTTAAATTAGCTTGTCTTTTTATTATTGAGTTATAAGAGTTCTTTATATATCCTGAATACCAGTCCCTCATCAGATATACGATTTGCAAACATTTTCTACCATTCTGTGAATTGTCTTCTCACTTTCTTGATTTGTGGCATGAAAGTTTTTAATTTTGATGTAGTCCAGTTTAACTATATTTTTGTTGTTTTTGGTGTCAATTTGCCTAATCCGAAGTCATGAGGTTTTACTCCTATGTTTTCCTTTAAGATTTTTACAGTTTTAACTCTTACATTTAGGTCTATGATCCATTTTGAGTAAATTTTTGTATATGGTGTAAGGAAAGAGTCTAACTTGATTATTTTACATGTGGATATCCAATTGTCCAGCACCATTTGTTGAAAAGACTGTTCCTTCCCCACTGAATTGTCTTGGCACCCAGTCAGTGATGATTTACATGTTATTAAATTCACTATCCAATTTTTCCCTTATCAATACTACTTTCAGCAGTATTGACACTGTTGAGAATTCCCTCCTTCAAATATTCTATTCTCTTCATTCTCCTTTTACTTATCTTGCTATTTCTTTTTAGTATTTATAGGTTCCTTCTACCAAGCTTCTAAATGTTGGGTTTTCAGTTACTATGACTAACAAATTAGCACAAAACTTACTGGCATAAACAATCATTTTCTGTGCTCACAGTTTCTTTGAGCCAGGAATTCAGACTTGGTAAAGCAGGGTCAGCTTATCTCTGTTCCATAATGTCTGGGGCCTCAGCTGGAAGACTCGGGCTGAGGACTGGTATCATCTGAAGGCCTGTGCCATTACATGAGAAGCAGTTGATAACAGCTATTGACTGGGAGCCTTGGTTCACATCCACATGAGCCTGTCCATGTCCCAGGGCAGGGTTGGGTGAGGAGGAGGAAGAGAGAAGAAGCAAAAAAGAAGAGAGAAGAGAAAGGGAAAGCCCGGGGAAAGTCATGTAGTCTTTTATGACCAAACCTCAGAAGTCACAGAGCATCACTTTTGCTACATTTTTTTTTTCATCAAAGTCTCACATTCAAAGAAGAGGAAAGAGAGTCTGCCTCTTTATGTGGAATAGTAAGGTTCTTAAAGAGCACGTGGGACCAGAAATATTGTTGTGGCCTTTTTTAGAAAAACGATTGCCAGAGTCTGTTCTGACCACACAATTCACATCCTTCCCACATGCAAAATACACTCCCCTCCCCCTCCAAAGTCTCCCAGAATTTCATCCCTGTATGGCATCAGGCTCAGGCTTGAGGTTCAGAATTTCAGTGAGGTCAGGTCCACGTGCAGGTGAGATTCCTTGGGTACAATTTCTTGAGGACAGCTCCTTGAATATAGTTCCACTTGATTTGAAAACTTGGGGACTAAAGAGGGCAAATTATCTACCGCCTTCCCCACCACTACCCAACGTACAATGGCAAGGCATAAGATAACCTTTCTATTCCAAAAGTGGGAAAACAGGAGGCACATAGAAGTCACATAGAAGTCACACTGGTCCATAGCAATTCTTTTTATATTTTCTCCCTATGTGATCTGTTTCCATAGTTTTAAATACCATCCATACATTCATGACTTCCAAATTTCCTAACATCTCTCAGCTCCACACTAAAATATCTAATTAACCATTCAACACCTTCATTAGGATATCTCACAGATATTTCCAAGTTAACATGCTAAAATGAACTCTTGTTTTCTACTTTACCCCTTTTCTTTCACAAATCTCTTCTTTTCCTGGTTTCTCCATCTAGGTGAATGATGCCACCATTCACCTAGTTGCTCAGACCAAAATCCAGGACTCAGGCTTAATTCTTTTCTCTTTCACCTCTACATCCACTAATCAGCAAGTTCTATATTTTCTTTCTCCAAAATATACTTTTTTTCATCTCACCTGGATTACAGCAATCCCCTTCTTGGTCATCCTCCTTCATTCTTGTTCCTTTCCAATTTCCTTTGATACAGCAAAGTAATATTTTAATTAATATGTCTGGTTATGGCACTCTCTTGCTCACAATCTTGACTGACCTCCCACTGTGCTTTGAGTAAAATCCAAATTCCTTACCATGGCCCTAAAAGGTCCATATAACTGGCCTTTGCCTGTTCCTCTGACTTTATTCCCTGCCACTTTCCCTTAACCACTATAGTACTTCATCTTCTCTGGGCTTCTTTCAGTTCCTCAAACATACCAAGCTTTCAGAAATGGTCTGTACACACGCTATTTTCTCTGCCTGGAATATTGTCTCCCAACTTCCCACCCAGACATAACCAAGTCTTTCCCATCCTTCAAGGTATGGCATTCTTGATCATGCTCTATCACTGTATCCTGTTTGTTTCCTTTGTAAGACTTATCCCAATTTTAAGTTATATCCTATTTGTTTACTTATTTATCATGTCTCCCTAACTACATTGTAAGCCCCACTAGGTCAGGAGCCATGTCTGTGTTATTCACCAATATATACCCAGAGCCTAGGCAGAGTGCCTACCACAGAATATGCATTTGATAAATGTGTTGAATATTATTTAAAGGTATAATTTTGTTTTGAGATAATATATTAATAATTAATAAGTAATTATTAATAATGTTAAATGTATTGTTTCCTAACTCTTACTGAAATAGCCTTTTATTTTTCTCTTTCAGTAACTGCCCTTCATTTTTGGCTGCTGCTTTAGCCAGAGCCACATCAGACGAAGTCCTTCAGAGTGATCTGTCTGCACATTATATCCCAAAGGAAACGGATGGCACAGAAGGGACTGTGGGTGAGTACCTTTATACCTTGTGTGTTTAAAAATATTAAAATCTTCTCATTTCCACAGAAAATGTGTACAAAATACTAAATCTAATTATGTTTACCCATCAGTTGATTTTATAGTGGTAGCAAGAGAAAAAAATGCAAAAAATAATTTTTTTTTCAAACTAACCCACGAAAGGAGGGAAAAAGAGAAAAAAATACAGATATATTTTGAAAATGTGAAGGTAATTGGAGCAAGAGATTATCATAACAGGATATTATCATAAATAATGTCTAGGTAAATGGAAAGAGTAAAGTGAGAATGTGAAGACACAAAAGAAAAGAGTGAATGAGGGGAGAGGAGTCTAAGCAAAACCTATTTAAAACTTTTAGCTTACCTTTAAGAATCCAAGTAAAAAATCAGATATAAAATTTCAAGAAATCAGCTATGACAAAACTTCTCATTAATTATATTAAATTTTGTGTCTACCAATAAATAAATAGAGCTCTTTATGAGAATTATGTAACTTGTGATTTAATTGCATGGATCATTGTACATCTTTTTTCCAGGCAAATTATGAGGATTTATTTATTAATGAAGGCATATTTATTAATGTATTAGTCTTATACATATTTGACAGGCTCTAAAGAAATACTGATTTTAGTAAAAATTAGGGAGTTACTACTCAAAATTGTTAAGGAATTTTAATATTTCAATCCATTTCTCTTTTAAGCATTTGCCTTTAAATATGGTGTATAAGAAGCAAAGCATACATTAATGAAGCAGAATAGCTAGATTCCAGAGAATGTGAGGCAGATAGAAAAGTAAATATTCCATTCTTCCTTTATCTCTCCAGATCATTTTTGACAGAAAATTGGCAAAGAAGGAATTCCTCTCCTTGTTTTTACTGAGAGTAATTGATTCACTTGGAACCAGATTGTTCCAGAGTCAAGCTGGATGGAATTCCTGCTACAAAGCATTGGTCTTTCCTCTGGTACTGACGCATGAAGTAAAAGCCCCGTAATGAAAAGATGAGGGAGATTACATTCTGCTTCACTGCAGCCAGGGTGATGGCTGACTCAGCTCCAGCTCAGTACAGTGACATTAACGACCGATGAGTAATTTACAGCTGTGAGGGGGTGGACTGCTACCTTGGACAATTTTCTCTTTTTCGCACCCTTTTTTATTTTATTTCATTTTTCCATTTCAAGCAGCAATTATTTATATACTGATGTTCTAGCAGTAGGAGAATATTTAACGTAGCAAACTAAGTGTTGCCCTACATGCTTACTATGGAAGAATTTTCTGACCCCCCCATAAGATAACAAAGGGAAATTAAGGGCATTTCTTTTGGTGGATATCATTGGTCATTCTGATTTTATATTTTTCCAAGAGATTACCCAGTAATGTTTCCATGCCATTGCTGTGATTCAGAATGATCCATTATAATTCTAAACTGTTTGCAAATCCTTAATCTATTTAACCCAAATCACTCAGTGTGAACTGCACTGAGGAGAATCTCTCTAGGGCATATTGTGTATCCATAGTCAGAGTGGGAAATGAGCATACTGAATAAGGCCTGCTGTCACTGGCTTAAAGGCACTGAAGTCCCCACTGAAATGTCTTTTGTCTCTCCTCTTAGTTTTTTCCAAAAACAAAAATTCTTAATTTAAAGTTCTTTTCATGTTTCTGTCATTGCCAAAAGAAAGTTTGCTAAACGACCTTGCATATCATTTGATACAAATTTAGTTTGGCAGATATAACTCCTGTGCAGACAACCTAAAATCAATTTGAAATATCCCAATATAAAAATTAAAAACAGGAATGGGAAAATGATCACTGATACAGAGGAAATTAAAAGAATTATGAAAACTTTGTGTAAATAAATTTGAAAACCTGAGTATTTTCTAGAAAAATACAAATTAACAAAGTTCACGTAAGAAGAAGGAGATTGAGAAGACTGTCAAGGAGCTATCTTCCCAACAGTACAGAATAGGTTATTCTACAGGTGAACATTTTCAAATGAGCAAAGACAAATAATTCCAACGCTTTTTACTTTTTATTTATTTATTTATTTTTTTCCCCAAAGCCCCAGTAGATAGTTGTACGTCATAGTTGCACATCCTTCTAGTTGCTGTATGTGGGACGCGGCCTCAGCATGGCCAGAGAAACGATGCATCGGAGCGCGCCCGGGATCCAAACCTGGGCCGCCAGCAGCGGAGCTCGAGCACTTAACGGCTAAGCCGCTCTTAACGGGGCCGGCCCTCCAATGCTTTTTAAAATGAATTATCCAGGGCCGGCTCTGTGGCTTAGCGGTTAAGTGCGCGCGCTCTGATGCTGGCGGCCTGGGTTCGGATCCCGGGCGCGCCCCAAGGCACCACTTCTCCGTCCAGCGCGAGGCCGAGTCCCGGAGCTCGAGCACTTAACGGCTAAGCCGCTCTTAACGGGGCCGGCCCTCCAATGCTTTTTAAAATGAATTATCCAGTTGCATAGAGAAAGAAGGAAAATTTGCATAGCATAATACTGATATCAAAACTTGCCTAAGACAAAACTAAAAAAGGAAATAGATAAGTCTTAGTAATCAATGTAAAAAATCTGAAGTAAAATATTTGTATATTGAGTACAACAGTTAATTCATTTGATGAGTATTTTATTGAGGGCCTACCATATGCTTAGCACTATGCTGGGGAAACAGCAGTGAACAAAACAAACAAAAAATATTGGGAAGTCTATTAGCATAATTTATATATTAGTAGGTTAAAAGAAAAAAAAATGGAATAATCTCTAAAGATGCCCAAAAAAGCATTTGATAAAATTCAATATCCATTCCTAATTTTAAAAATATACTTAATAAAGTAGAACAAAATCTGGCTCAAACCAAAATCTAGCATTTATGCTTAATGTATACTCAAGAACTTTTTGGTTCCAAGTGACGACCAACACAACTCAAACTGGCTTCAGCAAAACAGAATTTATTGGCTACGCTTCAAGGTAAGGGCTACACAGCTGGGTTCAAGGCTTCACATGATGTCATCAGAACCTGGCATTTCTCCAACTCGCCGCGGTACTCTCTTTCATTCTGATTTTATTTTCAGGCTCCATGTGGTGGCAAGATGACTGCTAGGAGCGTCAGGTCCTCACCTACCCAGGTTCAAATCAAGCAGGAAAATAAGAGTAACTTTACTTCAGTTGCTCTTACATAAAGTCACAGGATTCACTCTAATCAGCCCAACTTGGATTATTTCCCATTCCTGAACCAATCACTATGGCCAGAGGAATGTGATTCTCTAATTGGCTAGAACTGAATCACATGTTTTATCCCTAGATGCACATGGACTGACAGCAGAGAAGGAAATGTTCCTAGTAGAAAGAGGAATATTTGCTAGGTGGCAAATAATACATTAAAGCAAAGTTCTGACTTAAAATAGCAAAATTAAATAACTAGGAATAAATTCATTAAGAAACATGAAAGACCTATGTTAAAACTCTATTGAGCAACATAAAAAGGATTTAAATTAATGATACAGTCTCTATCTGTAGTCTAATTTGGGAAATGCAAAGCATGGGTGTTAGAGTTAGATAGACCTGGGATTGAGAATGGTTTTCCCTGTTTGTGAAATGTTCCAGAGACGTAGAATGTAGCAAATACCCCATAAATGTTACCTATTGCTACAGAATGTGGTTAAGAGCTGTAATAGTGTGAACAAAGTGAAATGGGAACATAAGGGAAGGAGCAACTAGGAGGGGGCAGGGGCAGATCCAGTGGTTTACCAAATATTAGAGGAAGATGGTATTGCTTCCCCTAACCAATTCAATCTGTCTACACCAGCACCATCCAGTAGAGAGCACAGTGATGGAAATGTTCTCTACCTGCACTGTCCAGTGTGGTAGCCACTGGTCATACGTAGTTATTGAGCACTTGAAATATAGCTAATGTGACAAAAAACCTGAATTTTAAATTTTATTTAATTTTAATTTAAATAGTCACATGTGGCTAGTAAGCTACCTTATGGGACAGTGTAGGTCTATATAGTAAGAGTAATATACAAACCAAAGAATGGTATTATATTACTATCTGGGAAACTGGAAACTATTTAGTTGTTTCACCCCACCCCATTCTCCCTCAAAGTTTCTGAATTTACTTATTGTTCTGCAATCCTTTGCTGTGATTAAGTCAAATGTACACCCAAATGCAGACACCCTACATTTGGGGGACTATACTGCTGCAGAAACCAGATGGGTTGGAGTGATACAAGTAAGTAATTGCTGACTGAAAGAGAGGGTCTCTGGCAATTGGTGTTTTTTTTTTGTTTTTTGTTTTTTAAAAGATTGGAATTGCTCAAAACAATCAAAATGTTGGGTTGTCTATTGGCCTCAGTTTCCTCTTATATACACACCTCTTCAGGCTGTTTTTGCCCTTTGAATTTCTTTTTCAAATGTACCTTTGATTTTCAGTTATATAAAAATGTCAAGGGCTCACAATTATTTAAAAAAAAAAATGCAGCTCTCTTCTATTAACCCAGACATTAAAGAGATTTGTAAAATGGTAAATGATGCCACTGATCTCACAAACTATTTTTGTTTTGGGAAACACAGTTTTCATAAAAATATTTATGTTAACATGAAATGGCTTTATTTTTAATTGAATTGATAAATACATATTTTGAATCGTTTAAAGAAAATGTCAAGGGGGAAAAAGCCACAAAACATGGTTTACCGCCTGGTACTATGTTGATGAGAAAATAAAAAAAGCAACAAATGCTTGAGATCAGCTTTTGAATATAGTCATTTTTAAAAGAATTTTGAATAAGAAAACAAGTAAATGTAGTCACAAATTAAGGCAATGGCAGGGTGAAGAATAAAAAATGGGAAGTTTCCAGGCTGTTCTAGAACACGTAGTCTCTCTTCTTTGGGATTTGTGTTCTAGATCGGAGGAGGCATGTGCAGCCATTGCCCATCTGGAACTTATTTTCTCAGGCTGTCAAGCTATATCTGATTTATTAAAGTAAAAAAAAAAATTTGGAGAATTACAAATTTTATTTTACCTGTGATGTGGGAGGAACCTCTAGAATACTGGCCTGAGAAAAACTCATCTCTCCCTGGTTATTTCAATAGCTGCAACTTGAGGGGAGGACAGCCTGAGTGGAGATGATGTGAGATACGATCTTTTCAATACTATTCAGTGTTGCTTACAAGGCTTACACATCTGTCTATCCATTGAGGGAGGCAAGTCAGCCTCAGAAGTCAGCTAGTCTACTCCACTTAATAGGTCAAGTAGTAGACTTAATACTTAGGGTGAAGAATCCTCTGATTGCTATTTCCTTTTTTCTATCCAGGGTTACACACACACACAGAATTTAAGTACTTTTTTTCCTTAATGAAATACACAGTTTTCACTCATTTGTTGATCTGTTGGCTAAACTATTTAAGCTATTGCCTAAAACTTTAATTAAAAAATGCATTAAATAACAAAAGTATACACTTTAGTTCCAAATTATGATCAGTTACAGGAGAGGAAAGTTAGGGAACCGGAGGGAGGTAAAGGAAGAGGCCAGGAAGAAAGAGAGAGACAAAGACAAATGGTAATCAAGGCAAACTCTTCTTCCTCCTGTGGTTTATAAATAAATAATCTGTTTTCATAGGCCTTTCATGTTCCAGTTAGCTGGATAACCACTGTTCATATTTCAGTCATTCTTCTAAGCATAGGGGGCTTGGCTCTCAGATGATAACCATGGCAGCCAACCAAAAGGGGACCAATGTTCTGAACTAGATAGCAGTGGCCAGAGCACTTCACAGACTGGAAGACATTCCGCCTACAAATAGATCCAGCCCTGGCCAGAGGTTTTCTCCTCATGACATAAGGATATCTTAGGGGCAGCTGCTGGCTGATGATTTTCTGCTAGATAGGTTGTCATTTTCTCTCTTCAGAAGGAACATTTCATTTCTCTTGAGAAAGCGGAATTTCTTCTGTTAAGGAGGAGCTTGACTAAGGTGATCTACTTCTGTCTTTACAAAGCAGGCAAGTGAAAAGCTGTTTTATAAGGCTCTTCATTGGGGTTTCTGTGTTTCTTTAACAGAGATTGAGACAGTGAAATTGGCCCGTTCTGTCTTCAGCAAACTACATGAGATTTGCTGCAGCTGGGTGAAAGACTTCCCTCTCCGCAGGAGACCCCAGCTTTATTATGAGACATCAATCCATGCCATCAAAAACATGCGCAGAAAAATGGAGGACAAACATGTCTGCATTCCTGACTTTAATATGCTCTTCAACCTAGAGGTAAAGGGCACTTCTGAAAAGTCAACGAGGTTTAAAAAACAAAACAAAATAAACACCTTCATGGTTCTGTTTTCTAACAGGAGAACTTCTAATATACTTCTGACAGTATCTCTGATGGGCTGGAGTAGGACTAAAGGCAAAGTGGCACAGATTTGCTTGCATTAGACAATAGAAAACGAACTATTTATTTTATGTTACTTTGAATAGGTAATGCATTCACACAGTTCAGAACTGGAAAATAAAAATCTCTCTCTTATCCTTGTCTCTAAGACACTCGGTTCCCCTCCTAGAAGGCAAGGGAAGTTACCAGTTTCCTGTGTAACCTTCCAGAGCTATTCTAGAAACACACAAGAAAAAAAGAAAACTTATATCTCAATAAAGCTGTTTTTTAAAGGAAACTATTTCTGTAGTATGATCAAATCGTGTTTTTTAGTTCCCACATTGCTATGTTGCTGAAGCAACCAAAACACAAACAAAAGGGTGAATTTGAGACTGAGACAGTTTTCTGATTTCATGTGATTTTCTTTTTTAAATCTTGCTTTCTGAGATTGGAAAGTAGCTGGAATTACATTTCATCAATCTCTGTGACTGACAAATTGGATCATATGAGCCTTGTCAACTTAATAACCATTTTCTTATCTTCTTCTTCTTTTTCTATTAAATGTATTATGTTAATGCAAACAGAGGTAGGTTTGTTTCCTTTGCCTGTCACTTGCCTTTTTTCTTCACTCAAGTCCATAACTTAGAAATTACAATGCAGTTAATTTATACAAAGCACAATATTTCCTTCCTTTAGTAGCTAAATTTAAATTTCAGCTGACTGTCAAGGTTTGATAAGCAGTGATGGTGGGTTGGTGATTGGTGCTTATGTTACAAAGACAGATCAGCTGATATCTTTGTTTCCAAATATTACCATCCAGGCCCATGCAAATGTAACCTAAAAGACTGTTGTGTGGTGAACAAACCTTGTATCACTACACCCACTTGAAGACTATACTCAGGTTTGAGAGCATTGTTGCTGTTTGTTGACCTGGTTGGTTTTTCATTTTGCCTCAAAATTAGTCCAAAGACCTAACTCAGAAAGGAGTATCTTGTTATAGTGAAATAGGCTTTGAGGGCAATTTGGCAACACATATTTAGAACCTTGTAAATTTTCACACCTTTTGATCTGGTAATTTCACTTTTAATTTTATATTATAAGGAAACAGAAATGCAGAAGTCTTACATTTATGTTTTGTTTGACATAAATGTTTTACACAACATCGTCAATAATAAAAAATTGGAAATGATCTAAATCATTACATGTCGGGAATGATAACTGTATAGTACATATCCATTTAAAATGTCTTTGAGGGGCCGGCCCCGTGGCATAGCAGTTAAGTGCTCGTGCTCGGCTGCTGGCAGCCCGGGATTTGGATCCCAGGTGTGCACTGACGCACCGCTTGTCAGGCCATGCTGTGGTGGCGTCCCATATAAAATGGAGGAAGATGGGCACAGATGTTAGCCCAGGGCCAGTCTTCCTCAGCAAAAAGAGGAGGATTGGCATGGATGTTAGCTCAAGGCTGATGTTCCTCACAAAAAATAAATAAATAAATAAATAATAAAATAAAATGTCTTTGAGTAATACTTAATGACATGGGGGAAGTGCTAATGATATGGTAAATGACAAAAAGCAAGATGTACAATTTTAGGTACAGTATGATCCTAATTTTATTTAAAGAATTTATATGTATAGAAAAAAGACTGGTTATCTGTGGATGGTGGGCTTATAGATATTTATTTTCTTCTTTACACTTTTTTTTTTTTTTGCTGAGGAAGATTCGCCCTGAACTAACATCCGTTGCCAATCTTTCTGTTTTTTTTACTTGAGGAACATTAGCCCTGGGCTAACATCTGTGTCAATCTTCCTCGATTTTATATGTGGGTCACCACCACAGCATGGCTGACAAGTGGAGTAGGTCTGTGCTGGGGATCCAAACCCACCACAAACCCAGGCTGCCGAAGCAAAGCGCGCTAAACTTAACCACTATGCCACAGGGCTGGCTCCTATACTTTTTTATTAGTCCAAATAAATATACATTCTTTATAACAGGGAAGACATCAGTATTTTTTTTTTTATTTAAGCTATACTAATTTTTTTTTAAGAGACCTATTGGCTCCTTTCTGTTTCTTCTGATGCTATATTGTTTGAGAATCTCCCCACCAATCTCACATTGTTTAAAGTTATATTCTTATGCCCCCATAAAACTATTATTGCCACCTAACAGATGAGAAAACAAGCACAAGAAAATTACATGATTTACTTTGTATATTTGATTTACTTTGAATGATAGGGCCTGGACTCATCTGAGCTCCTAGAGCCCAAGGAAGAAATCAAAGACTTTGCAAATGAAAATCATTACATACTGTTGCCTAAAGGCAGCCCAGGACTCAGTGCGAGTTCAGTGAGTTACAGATCTCCTAAGTGATGAGTTGCTATCTCATGAGGATTTGGAAGGACTACTAAAACAACAGGTATATTTGTACTTTGAAAAAGTCTTTTTGGGTATACTACATTTACAAAAGTACCAAATATAAATGTCCATATTACAAAAGTACCAAATATAAATGTCCATAGAGTAATGATAACACCCAAATATTATGAAATCTATATCTAATACAGACATTGCAACTAGTTAATTTAGCAATTTTTTTTTTTTTTTGGTGAGGAAGCTCAACCCTGAGCTAACATCCATGCCAATCCTCCTCTTTTTGCTGAGGAAGACTGGCCCTGGGCTAACATCTGTGCCTGTCTTCCTCTACTTTATATGGGGCGCCGCCACAGTATGGCCTAACAAGCAGTGCATTGGTGTGCGCCTGGGATCTGAACCCGGGGTGCCAACAGCGGAGCACTCACACTTAACCGCTACACCACGGGGCCAGCCCCTAATTTAGCAATTTAATTAACACCATCTATAATGCCATTGAAGATTAACTGATTAAACAAATCTAGAAAAAAAGTCTTGACATGTAGAATTTCTACCTGTACTAAAACAGTACTCATTTTGGGATTTAAAACACTCAAGTTGAAGATGAAGCAGCAAACTACTTAATGGTCTAAATGTAATCTTGTGATTAGGCTTCCTTTGTCAAGACAGAGTGTGGAAGACCCTCCTCTGGCAGTTGCCTCAGTGCTTCAAGCAGTGGGTGGGAAAGGAAATGTGAAGCTGGATCTTGGATTGGGGACAAGGCAAAGTGGTTACAGGGCATTTGGACATTTGATGTGGTTCACGTTTTGCTAACCAGTTTAGAGACACTGTTATTTATGGTGGGAATTCAATGTGACCATGAATGAATTATGAAGGAGACATTATTATGAAGTACATGTATGCTTTCATTATCTCTGTATATTTTAAACAAGCTAATGTAATTGGCCTTGTGCTGGAAGGACAATTATTTCCTATTCTTCTCAGTTTCCAATTTTATTAAAATACTTTCATTTTGGAAAAAATGCTCAATCCAGAACAGCTTTTGCTCAATTCCTCCTCATACCTTCTCTTTCCTCCTCCTCCCCACAACTTGTAACACCAGTTTTGAAGCAAATGTATGTGGGTGGTTTCCATGGTACAAGACAACAGCTTTCCCAGAGAGAGGGCAATTCAGCCTGAGCTAATTGGGCATGATGTGTTCTAGTGTTCTGGTGTGTAAACACAGATGCCCTAATATTGCAGGTATTTTAGCAGTTGATCAGGCATGTCAGAAAAGGGAAACATTTAGTCTCATTATCTGGGTGACAAATGCGGTGGAGGAAGATGGGCAACAGTGCAGGGGATTGGCTCATTTGAATCATGCTATACCTAACTCCCTTAAACTGTTTCTGTGTTTTTGTTGACAGGACCAGGAAGAACAAGCTTACTTTGCAGTGTTTGATGGCCATGGGGGAGTGGATGCTGCCATTTATGCCTCCATTCACCTGCATGTTAACTTAGTACGCCAGGAGATGTTCCCCCATGATCCTGCTGAGGCCCTGTGCCGGGCCTTCCGGGTCACTGACGAGCGGTTTGTGCAGAAAGCAGCCAGGGAGGTATGCCATTTTCTCATAAATTATAGCCATGAATGCACTAGCTGAACTCAACTTGGTCTGTGGTTAAAGAGCTACTTTGTATTTTCTCTTTTGGGGCAGGCATTACTTAAAGTTCTCTTCCAAACCATATTCTTGACCCACAGTACTGGATTCTGTTGTAGTTCTAATTCCCTGTTTAGGAATAGTTTTAGTGGGGTGCTATGATGTACTGTATAGAAACTCCCAAGCTATCATTTTCTAGAAAGCCAATCCATTGCTAGATTTGGCAGGTGAGTTTTATCTTTCTCATTCACCATTGCCTGTCAGGTTCACCCCAGGACCATCTCTCTAAGCAGACTTTTGCTGACAAGATCTGGATGTGGTGATTAAAACAATGGTTTAAAAAAGAAACAGAAGCTGGGATTACTCCCATACACTTGGTTCTAAATGGGTTGGCAGTGTTTTGCTGTGTATCTCTTGAGGGAAAATTTGCTTGGAGAGAATGAATCCTTAGATGATCTTTGAACTGATTTTCTCTTAACAGGAATAACAGTCAGAGCTCATGTCCTAATTTCTTAAGGTGAATCAGACCTAAGGTTTTTATTCTGAATGAATAACAGGGGCTCTAATTAAGATCTAAAAGTAAAAATTTTAATCTAATTATCATTCTGGGCATTGGTATATAATTAACTATAGTACTCTAAGTTCATTTCTAACTGGGGCCAATAGAAAAAAAATAATTTTTAATTTTTAAAAGTAATTACAAAATTATATACACACAGAAATAAGACTCCTGCTCTATGACTTAAACATTAACTTTTTGAAATGGACTTGGAGAGAACATGGTAATCATTTAATCAGTTTCTTTGATCTCATAGTTATGCTACACAGCAATAGTGGGGCTTGGAATTAATGAAACAGTAATTCAGAACTATTTGTTATTAAGCAAGGGAAATATTCTATATCTCCTTACCTGTATAGATCCCAGGCTTAGATTAATATGCAAATCTAAAACAGTAACCACTAGGGTCTACATATGTAGGTGGAGCTAGCAAATGAAATACAGTTTAGACCTCAGATCTTCCCAGCGTCTCTGGAGGGCCAGCACTGCTTGGCTCTGCCTGCCCCGGAGCTGCGGGCTGTCATTCTGACTGAGGACAAGACCTGGCCCCTGAGAGGTGATCTGTAATCACCAATGTGAACTAAGAGAATCACTTTGTCTTCTTCATCCTCTGTTCTCTTTTCCTCTGTGTCCTCAAAATTATGGTTTTTCTGACCATGTTCACCTCATTTGCTTTAGTAGTGATCCTAGTATCTCTCAGTCCTGCCAATATTTCTTGTGAATAATTTAGGTTTGTCTCAGCAGTGAATTTTCTCCTTCTTGTGCTTCCATGTGCTGCTAACTGCTGGGAAGAAAGTAGCTATTCCTGTTGTGAAGCAGCCCTACCTCCTGTTCTCCCCAGGGCATATGCACTGAAGTGTCTTTATCATGTGTTCCAGGGGGCTGAGTTTTTGAACATTCTGTGTGGGAAGACATTTTATTGGTGGGTGAGGATTTATAACAAACTTTCCCTATTTAGGGAAAATGAGAAGTTGTTTTTCTCATTGAATACAAGGGGCCTTTTACCACCCTTGACGCATTGGTTCTAATTTAGGCCAAGTCCTTAGTAACAGAAAGTCATGCTCATTTGGTGGTGACTCATGTCAAATGGAGATGTCATTTTAGTAAGGTAGTACCAAGAGCATTAAGTACAGTGGTACTGAGCTATAGCGGTGAGATTCCACGCTGTTAGTTCTTTATGCAATGTTCCAAAAGCAAAGGCCCCTAAAATTATTGTACAGGAGTTGAATTTTTTGTTTTTTTCTTTAAAGGTATAAGCATCCTAGCACTCCAGGGAATGTATGTTATCTCTTGGCTCCTATCTTAATATCCAGAGTATGGGAGCATTTGTTGTGTACCAATCAGATGCTTCATAGGTTATTTTGTAAAGCTAGGACTCTCCCCCTGAACGTATAGTAGATCACTAACAAAACAGAGACCAGAATATGGAAATCTTTACTCTAAGGGTTGATATAGTGGATTTAGCACTGGACTAGGAGGAAAAAGAAATTCAGTTCTGTTTTGCGTACTAATCACTTACCTGCCCTTGGGCAAGTCACATAACCTGCCATAGTTTTCTTACTTGTATATAAAATGGAATTAATAATCATCCCTGCCTTGCATATCAAGATCAAATGGATCTATATGTGTGTGCACACAGAAATACATATATGCACATAAAAATGCATTGAGAAGTAGGAATCGCTGTTTATTTGTGAAATTGAGTTATTAATAGTCAAGCTCTAGACTGAAAAGTTTGTATTAACTATAAATTGCTTCTCAATGAGAATTTGATGTCTATTTATTTTTACTGACTGTAGTTTTATTTAAATTATTTTCAGAGCTTAAGATGTGGGACCACAGGAGTGGTGACTTTTATCAGAGGCAACATGCTACATGTGGCTTGGGTGGGTGATTCCCAGGTTATGCTTGTGAGAAAGGGCCAAGCTGTTGAACTAATGAAGCCACATAAACCGGACAGAGAGGTAAGTATGGTCTATTCTATTAGGGCACATGTCACAGGCAGTTTTCTAGTTATTAATTAAGATTCACTTAATTATTATAATTATCACCATTATCTCAGCAACCATGCCCACCTTCCAAAGGAGAAATAAAGAGAACCTTCCCAGGTTCTCTTGGAAGCTGATGAGTACTATATCTGTTGTTTACTGTTAAGGCAGATGAATAAATCCTGAACCCAATTATTTGCGTCTTTCTATTGCATTGCTGTTTAGGATGAAAAGCAGCGAATTGAGGCCCTTGGAGGTTGTGTAGTCTGGTTTGGTGCCTGGAGGGTGAATGGAAGTCTATCGGTCTCCAGAGCTATTGGTAGGAAAAACCAATTATTTTTTGTTTCTCTAAACTGTCCTCTTCTAGCTCATTGTTTTATATTAACTCTGATACAACAAGGGAACCTGAGATGAGATAGTAATTTATATTATCAGAGTGCTGATTATTGTTTAAAATAACAATTGGATAATGCCTCTTTTAATTATTTGATTTAATTAACCTACTCATTTATATATTTAAATTCTATTATTAAAAGGAAACTATATTAAGAAATGCAGAACTTACTAGTTTCTTTTTTTAATAGAAGGCTTTCATCTTTCAAACACAAATCTGCTTAAAACCACAGTGATCCTCATTTTATTCCATTTTGGGTTATATTTAGGTTCAATCAGTATTTTTCAGAGAATGGAAGCCCCTCCCCATATTTTACCTTGCTTATATCTTTAAATTTTTTCAATAAATTCTAAAATGACATAAACAACAGAGAATAAAAACCTTGTACTTTACTTTTTAGATGAAAACAATTTACTATATGTGGAATATAGTAATTTGCCAGATAACCCTGGGGTTTCAAAGAATCTGTCTCTTTGGGACCTAAATTCTTCAAAAGAGGAGGAAAGTCAATGAAAGTCTATCTAAAACTTAGCAAACAGCTAAGTTGATTGGACAAAATGCAAAGGTATAAGTTCAAAGAATTGAGCTACAGTCCTGTTTCCGTCTTTGTTTCACTTTGGCACCTGGGCTTATTTATTAGGCTTCATGGCTGAGCTTCATTTTCTGTTTTTTACAAAAGAATAAATCAATGTGTGTGTCTATATGGGTGATATGCATATGTACTGCAGTTCTTTGTCACTGCCTCCTAAAGAAATGAAGTAGTTTGACATAAGGATAACATGGATAAATGGAATTCACATCTAAGCCACAAATTTTGCTTATCATTACCAAAAAATTCCAGAGCATTAACAAAATCTCAAAGGATTGAGATGTGAGTTCCTCCCACTCTTTGGGAAGGTGCTGGCAAGCTGTGAAGTGGCCCAAATGTGAGCAGCAGAAGGCTGAGAGAGAAAGAGAAAGCTAAAAGATTGTGCAAATGCCTCCCGAAAAATTGAGAGCTGGCTTTACCTTAACGACTGAGGGAGTTATTAGGAACTCTGGAATAAGGCCAAAAAGGGGAAATTTCTCATTCCTAAAACATATCCCCATGTAGAATTATTTTTGACAGCTCCAACCAGAGACCTCTTCCATGATCTTACTGTGTCAGAGTATTGAGAGGTATCTTTAATGCTTGTTATAGAACCAGCTTTACTAGAGGATACTTGCCCTTTCTTGCTTCTGAAAATATAACACAAGGGGAAACTAAACCAGGGGAAGAATGTCCCTGAATGAATGACAGTCTAACAGAGAATAAGGCAGACTTCATAGAGAAGTGACCTTTAAGTTGGATGTGGACAGTGTTTAGGGGAGAAATTCCAGGTATAGGGGAGTACAAATTCATGGGCGTCTGAAAGGGCATGTCATGTTCTAGGAACAGCAACAAGTACAGGAGGCTAGGGCAGAGGGTGGCAGCGGTAAGAGATAAGTGTTGGCTCCAGACTTTGAAGAAGCTTATATGCCGGGTGAAGTAGTTTGGATCTTAGCAGGTGAATAAGCGGAGGGGCCACATGATCAGATTTGTATTTATAAGCTATCTGTAATGATGGTACAGAAGACCCACTAGAGTAAAAAGCTTAGATGAGAGGTCATTCAGGAGGCTGTTGATACAGTTTGTTAGAGATGAGGAGAGCTAAAAACGGATACAGAGGAGAGTATACATCGATGAGACAAATGAGTTTGTGGTAGAAGAGGAAAGCTAACTTCCAGGTTTCTGACTTGTGTGACCGAGAAGATGATAAAGCATTTGCAATAAAGCAGCAGTAGTTTGGGGGGTGGGGAGGAGGGCAGATAATGAGTTCATTTTGGACATACAATATTCTAGGTACCTGTGGGCTGTCTTGGAAGAGATGATTTACCTGCAGTTGGAAATACAGATCTGGTGCTTAGCAGAGAATTCTGAGTTGGAAATAGAGATTTGGGAACTCATCCCATTTTGGCAATAGTATTTGCAACCTGTGAAGTGATAGATATATAGTAGTTGAAACTACAGGCATAGTTGACATTGCCCAGGAAGAATATGTAGTATGAAGAGAGACCAAGGATGAGACTCATTACTTAAGGCAGAATAACATAATGAAGTCACGCTCTCTAGGTTTGTATCTTGGCTCTACTACTTTATAAACTGTGGGCCTTGGGAAATTTACTTAACTCCTCTGTGTTTCTTTGTAAAGTGGGAATAGTAACAGTACCTAAACTCATGGAGTTTTGTATTAAATGGTGTAATACACACACCACACTTAGAACCCTGCTTGGCAAAGTCTTAGCACACAGTGATTGTTACAGTGTATTATTAAGTGAAGGAGCCAGTGAAGAAAATCAAGAAGAGATCAGACAGAGATATAGAAGTGGGGTATCACAGATGCTAGGGAAAGAGGGTTTCTAGGAATAAGTAGTCAACAGGGTCAAGTGCTGCAGAGGACAAGTGAGATGTGGGTTAATAAGACATGGAATTTTGAAAACAGGAAATAATTGGTAACATTTGAGAGAAATGTTTTGGATTAGTAAGTGAAAAAACCAGAAAATAATCAGGTGAGGAAAATGAGCAGTAACATAAAGGAGCATGTGTAGATTTAGTTTCTTGGGCAATTTGGTGGTGAAGGGAAATAGTGTGGTGGCTAGAGGGAAAAGTTGATTTGGGAAAGGGTTGCTTTTATTGTTTGTGTTTTTAGGATTAGGAGACTTTAGATCAGAACATGTTTGTAGGATAAAAGAAGACAGCAGGTAGAAGAGAAATTGAAGATGAGAGAGACGCCAGAGTCCTAGAGAGACAGCACAGGTTAGCTCTGAGAAAAGAAAGGACACCTCTTACTCTGAAAGAATGGTAGATGATATAGGTGAATCTCTACAGATTAAAAAAGAAATTGGGGTGGAGGGAGGAACTGAGGGAATTCAGGCCTGATAAACTTAGTTTTCTTTGAAGTAGGAAATTAGGCCATCTACCGAAATCCAGTAGCTTAATTGGAAGAGGGAGTTGAAGAATGTGAGCAAGATTTGGAGAGCTCACGGAATAAAACAGGGGCTAAAGAGGGACAAGAAAAAGGACTCCTGAGCTGAGTTCAACTCTACTTAGAAAATGAATGACGTTTAAAGCTTGAAAAATGAAAAGCTTTTCAACCGTTTCTCCCCATGAGCCCTTCAGATTTATGATCCAAAGTTGACAGAGGCATGATATGTTTCCTAGCATATGGAGAGAAGAGGTTGAAGACAAAAGGATGTTGCCGTTTCTACCATGAAATGGATAATCATGCCCTCCTACCAAATTTGGGGGCGAAATGTCATGAATTTGACATCCAACAGTAGAGCAGGTGAAAAGCCAGAATTTTGGCAGCATTTTCTCTGTGCAAATCTTTGTATGTTCTGTTCCGAACTAACAGTTGCAGTAGCCTTTTAATTGAATCACTAAAACAAGATTTTTGGGAACAGTATGACTCAGATCACATTTATTTTTAGAGCTGGAATTCAGAAAATAATAATGATGATGATAATACAGTCAGGTGGAGCAGGGGACGGGGAAATTCAGTAAAGTGGATTGGTGGAGGACACTGGATCCTATGATTGAAAGTTTTAATTAGCTCCAACAGGCTATTGGGAGGCATCTGAGTACAGAAGTGAAGTTGATGAAATCAAAACCATGCTTGAGGAAGATGGTTCTGGCTACTGTATGACAAAGACTAGTTTCTTACCTTATAAATAAACTAACCTAGATAATTACATTAAGTATCTGTTGTTCAGGGTTATCCCATCATGCAAGCTACTGATAGGTCATGTGGCCCACGCTGGTTCTAGCAGTTATCCATAGGGTTCCTATTGAGCTTTCTGGGCCTATTTGAGGATTAAACAGGGATGTGAAATATTGGAGAGAGCCCTGCCTGGGTAGGAGAGAACCTATAACAGATACTAGCAACAGTGATGATATAGCCAGATCACTTAAGTAAGTATATTTATCTTCATTTCATCTTCCCCTAGTCAAAAAGTTCAGTTTTAGTACAACAGAAAGGACAGTAATTGAAAAGGGTTTTTAAGTAGCAAGTGCTAGCTAGGATTTGGACCCAGGCACTCTGACTCCAGTGCTGGCATCCTAAGCCACTAAACTATATGCCACTACTTTACAAATGAAGAAGCACTTTGCAGATTTTTTTTAAACTACTGTTTACTGATGAATTCTGATACCCTAATCTAGCAATTATTGCTCAATACTTTGTTTTGTTTATGTAAAGAAGTAAATCAGTATACCTTTTTGCAGAAATAAGCTATTTGGTTACCCAATAGGCTAAGGACTCTTTCGCTAGGCTCTCTCCAAGTACCTAAAGGAAAACAATGAATGTAAACAATGAATCTATCTGGAAGTGCTCTGGATCTGAAAGTTCCAAAATGCATTGTAGATGATCAATAATCACAGTACTCTGTTGATAGAAATGTAGCTTCGTGTGGGCCCAAGGGTCTCCAGTCTGTCTCCACTCCAAGCACCCTATATTCAACTACACGTTACTCCTTAATGTGTTTGCTAATGCTGTTCCCTCAAACAAGGGCCTTCTCTGCTGGGTGTTAACTAACTTATCCTTCAAGGCCCAGCTCAAATGTCATTCTGTAAGTGGATGAGCTAAGCCAAGAAAAGATGGAAATAAGGGCCTAGTAAAGCTTTGAGGTTCTCACAATTGTTTATAAATGGAGAACGAACAATAGCAATAAAGACAGAAGGGGGGGACAATCAGAGACATATGAAGCAAGAACATGGTAGTCTCTGAAAATGAGAGAAAAATGGTCATTTTCTGACTGTTGTCTAGAAATTACAAGTAAAGCAGCATTAAAAAATAGGAAGCAAACTGGACTAGGAACCAAGAGACTTACATTCTAGTCCCTTGTCTGAGGCTTGGGGTGACTGTTCCTGGCTTGAGCAAGTTGGACTTGATTTTTTAAAATCCCTTGAGGGGCTGGCCCGGTGACACAAGCAGTTAAATGCTCGTGCTCTGCTGCGGCGGCCCGGGGTTCACCGGTTCAGATCCCCGGCGCGCATTGACGCAGCGCTTGTCAAGCCATGCTGTGGCAGCGTCCCATATAAAGTGGAGGAAGATGGGCACAGATGTTAGCCCAGGGCCAGTCCTCCTCAGCAAAAAGAGGAGGATTGGCAGATGTTAGCTTAGGGCTGATCTTCCTCACAAAAATAAAATAAAATAAAATCCCTTCTAACTCAAACCTTCCTCTCAGCTCACAGCATCAAGCTACTGATTTCTAAACAAGGATAGAACAAAAATTGTTTACTGAAGAGAGTGATCAGAACTTTGCTTTGTTTTTCAATACGGACTTGTTCTCAAATATTAATTAAATCAAACCTAACCACCAGTAAAAGAACAGATCTACTAAATCAACAAAGTTTTCCTACGTAGGACTGAATTTTTCAGTACAGCAACAAATATAGATTTGACATTTGTTGCCATGTTCAGCTAAGCCTAAATCACAGCTAGAGGCACAAGATTCAGAGTCTAAGCTAGATAAGAAATTAAGCCCAGTGAATGGCAATTATTTAACTGAGAGTAAGGTGTGAGCAGCGTCTGATTAACAAGAATTCAAGTATTTTTAATCTAAAACCAGCTTATAAATTCTTTCCAGTAAATTCAGATCACAATCCTGTAAACTGTGATCAGAATCATCGCATTGGCCATAAACATTCTTACATGTAAGGTAAACCAAAATCTGACCTACTTTCTAATTCCCACAGGAGATGCTGAACATAAGCCATATATCTGTGGGGATGCAGATTCTGCATCTACTGTTTTGGATGGAACTGAAGACTACCTCCTTCTGGCCTGTGATGGCTTCTATGACACCGTGAACCCTGATGAGGCAGTGAAAGTTGTGTCTGACCACTTGAAGGAGAATAATGGAGACAGCAGCATGGTTGCCCACAAATTAGTGGCATCAGCTCGTGATGCTGGGTCAAGTGATAACATCACTGTTATTGTGGTATTCCTGAGGGACATGAACAAAGCTGTACATGTTAGTGAGGAATCAGATTGGACAGAGAACTCTTTTCAAGGAGGGCAAGAAGATGGTGGGGATGATAAGGAGAATCATGGAGAGTGCAAACGCCCTTGGCCTCAGCACCAGTGCTCAGCACCAGCCGATCTAGGCTATGATGGGCGCGTGGATTCATTCACTGATAGAACTAGCCTGAACCCAGGGTCCCAAATCAACGTGCTGGAAGACCCAGGCTACCTAGATCTCACTCAAATAGAAGCAAGCAAACCTCACAGTGTCCAGTTTTTGCCACCAGTTGAGATGTTTGGTCCTGGTGCACCAAAGAAAGCAAATCTAATTAATGAGCTAATAACAGAGAAAAAATCAGTTCAATCATCATTGCCTGAATGGAGTGGTGCTGGAGAGTTTCCCTCTTCTTTTAATTTGGGTTCAACAGGGCAGCAGATATACAGAATGGAGAGCTTGTCTCCTGTCTGTTCTAGGTTGGAAAATGAACAGTTCAAATTCCTGGGAAAGAGAGTTTCTAGATTGTCTCATTTACGCCACCACTACTCAAAGAGGTGGCATGGATTCAGGTTTAATCCAAAGTCTTACTCATTTCTCTCTGCTCGAGAGCCTTCCCACAAAATAGGCACTAGCCTGTCCTCACTTATTCGAAGTGGGAAGAGAAATAGGATGTTAAGAAGTTCTCTGCCATGGAGGCAAAGTAGTTGGAAAGGGTACAGTGAAAACATGATGAGGAGGCTCAGAAAGAGTAATGATATGCCATACCCAGATCGTCCCTGGAGCTATAAAATATAATACTTTCTTGTTAAAGTAGGCTAGCTAGCTCTCCCCCCAGTAAAAACACCACCATCAGAGTAGAAACAAGGTAGACATTTCTGAAATGTATGTGCTTCATTATGAAACCATGGATGGCTCAATTTTTAAATGTAAATAGATCTCTAGGAAACTCAAAGTAGTGCTTTCAATCTAAAAAAGAAGTATTGGCGGTTTCACTAGCAAAATTATACAACTAGTCCCTGTGATGTGTCTCCACACCTACATACAACCCCCACCCCACTGCCCCTTCACGTCACTAGTGGAAGCTTGCGAGTTAGTTACTTCAGTCAGGTTAGAGAGTGTTGAAATCTCAACGCAGTTGAAATCTGGTCTGATGTGCCTAATATATCTATGGAAAACAATGCAGAATTAGATTTAGTTGGAAAACGTTTCTCAAAATACTGAGAACTATGAGGGAAACTCTTCTCCCTTTTTTTTTCAGTAGGTAAAAGACTAAAAGCCATATGGGTCTTAACTGGTAACAATGAAAGTAGAAAACCAGTGTAAAAATGTCATATTCTCAAACTTGTGAGGCAGTATATAGTCAAAACGATTTTACTGATTTTTTTCTGTAACATAATAGAATATGAAAATTTTTTGAATTAAAAAGTATTTCCTAGGGCTGTAGCTATTTGGGAGTTTCATAACCTGTTATGGTGCTTTTGGTGGAATTTTTATTATTTGTCATTTTAAAAGACCACTGTCAACTGGTTTTAACTTACGATGCTAATATGTCTTTTACTGTACCTTCATCTCAGGAATAAAACTGGTTAAATGGAGATGATGTCAGGTACAAATATACTAGAATCAAGTTGCCATTTAAAAAGAAAATCAAATAGTATTTCTATTTTTTCTGCCACTTTTTTTTTTAAGTTCACGGACAGCAAAGGCATATACTACTATAAAATAAAAAGTAGTTTTGGAGAATGAAAAAATACTAGTTTTAACTTCTGTAGAATTGTTTCCCCTCAAGGGAATGAAAAAGTAATTGGTGTGAAGGAGGCTCCAAGTACTGCCTACAGTGAGCCCAGAGGCCAAGTGCAAAGGCGAATGCACATTACTAAGACTGAGGTCTGTTTGGTTATAAACAGAGAATGCTCCAGAGTCCTGCTACATGCAACTTCAGACTACAGAGACAGGACATGTGTTTCCCATTTCAACATTTATGTGATATTTTCAAGTTGCCTGCTTTTTGCCATTTTTGCGGTTTCAAGCCAGGGCATATCTTCAACTAAAGACAGAAAATAAACTACCAATCAGATTCATTTGATGAAGCAGCCTCTGCTTTTCTGAGAATTGTGAATGTCTCCACGTGACATTTTACCCTCCCCTAGGCAACCGTGGACCAGCCATGCCCACAGACAGGAGCTGCCTGCTGTAGTGCTCAGTCACTCATACTGTTAGGAGGCACCAAATGCTCTTGCTGAGAAACGTCCATTGCCGAATCATGTTTTTACATAATAATACAATTACTCTATGTTCCCCACACCCATAACAGAAGAGTGAAATTCCTGGATTTTAAAAACATAGAGGACTGTAGCATATTTTGGGTGCCAGTATATCAAATAAATAAAAATAGCTCCACTTTAGCAATGATCAGACTGTTAGTCTACAGATTTTATTTTTAAAAATTTGGATGTAAGTAGAGATTTTCAGTATTTGTTTTCTCTTGATTTTGAAGTCATTTCTTCTTTTCTCAAGTTTTGTGACACATGGCTGAAAAGGAGGGAGTAAACAAACATGGCTCCAACTACAGTACCAGAATGTGATTACCATCCTGATGCTTTACCCCCATGTACGGACCCCGCTCACATCTGTCCTTTTCTGAAGCCTAGATCTTGTTAACAACCCATCAGGTGCAGAGTCAGTTTCAAATCACATTATCTAAGGAAACAAAAAAACAGAGGCAGCAGAATATTGGTACACATTATAGTCCAAAGCACTTAGCTAAGTTAAAAAAAAAAAACACACCTTTTTTTTTTAGACTTTCTAGTTGTCTATTGCTAATGTTTTTGATCAGAATAAAAAAGGTGAAAGGAAAGAAGGTACAAGTGATAGGTTTTTCCAGTGGGGGAAAAAATGGATGAAACTGGGACAAACATAGACCACATCTTTTAAGGGTCTGGATTTCGTAGGTCTGACTACATAAGCAGTGTTAATTCCATTTCTCATACCAGTAGCCCTCTAGAAAATAAAGCAAAGTAGTTCCAGTATGGTCAAGTTATCAACCAATATTGTAAAAAATAGCAACTATTCATTTGTTCACAACATATATATTTATAGTTAGGTACCATTTGTAAGGTAAGTCCTTTAAAATTCTATAATACATATTAAAGTAGTGGTTATTGGTCTGACATATGCTGCTCTTGGTTCTATAAACTAGATAAAAAGCAGTGCTTTGTGAAATGCAGTGTTATATCTTAATGCCACTGGTGATAGACAGTAGTTCCCTTCAGTTCAAATCCTGTGCCCTTATTTGCTGCTTGCTGACGTAAGCAATAAGTACCCCTCTAACTAATGGTATCTACACATTTCCGTAACTTGTATTTAATGATGGTGTATCTGGTGATTGTAAAAATATTAGACAGATATAAAAGTATCTATATTATATATTAACTGTTAATGCTGAGGTATAGTCTGTGAACTATGTATTTTGTACTTTTATTCATTGTGTAATTTAGTGGTGGTGAAAGTTCTACACTCAACCCTTCAGCGTGGCAGTATCCCTTTTTCACTTGAACATGGTTTGCATCAATTTGTTTGCCTGCTAAAGTTTTGTTAGAATAGGAAATAGTAAAATAAATATAAACAAGAAAGTGTAGTATTGGTTAGGGAAACAGACTTCAAGTCACCAACTGAAGTCATTACAAACTCCCTGTACATTCACTGTGAGTTTCAAAGGGAATCAGCCCCTAACTTAAAGGTTTCCTTTGTTCACTTTCCGGATGTGTACTTTTGAGGGATATCTGAGGTTAACCAACTTTACAGCACCAAACACTGGGGCTGTTAATCCCATTTAGGCTTGTACTCAAGAGGATGGTGGAAACACACGTATATACCTTTTCTTTACCTAGAAGTGCCATCCATTGTCCTTGAATTAATAAGATTACTGTTGCATTTAATTTAACTAGTAGGGTCCTTGAAAGTAACACCTTTTCCAAGGACAATGTCAACAATGTCAATGTCAACACTGAGTCTGATTCTGACCACACTGACAGTGGTGTAACATCAAAGTGGTGGTAGTGTCACGACGCATCTTCACGACAACCACACTCCATTGTTGGAACACTGTGCCAGTGAGAAGTGCAACATCCAATGGGCAGATGAAAATGATGCATAAAGAAGTTCAGTGTTTACAGATAAAACTGCTGTGGTTCAAGTACTTCCTTCCCCATCGAAGGCTTGCCCAGGCTTTGTGAGAAAGTGATCTAAATTAATGTTTAAACATACTTTGTTCACTCCATGACCATTCTCACCTAAGTAAGGCCATGAAAGGGGATACTACAGTTTTGGTCACACCATAATTTGGGACAATTTTTCTTTAGATCATAAATTAGAAAAAGAAAGAACATACTTTTTTCACCTTTTAAAATCATGTGATGTTAAAGGACAAATACCCACTCTTCTGTTCTGACCTGTGAATAGCTTAAATGTTTTTCTTTCAAAACAAGATACCACCAGTACTATAACATGACTATTTTCCAGACAAATGGTACTGTGTTGAAAAATAATTGTTACTTCCTCTAGCAGCATTTTATCTTCTATTTTGAAGACTATTTATTGTCCTAATTAGAAAACATGAAATAAGATACGGAACTCCAGATTGACACAGCAGTTGTTCTGGAAAAGGAAATACTCTAATAAACTTTGATGTATTAGATAATCCACAGATACATCATTGTTAACTCTTACTCTAGGTGCTCTTTGGTGAGAGACGGGCTTTGTTCTCTTGTTCATGACACTTCTTGCAAAGAATTCTCTATGGAGCGAAGCGAATGAAGTGAATCATTTCTTACCAAGTAAATTTGTCAATTTATAAACCTGCTCTACAGCTCACTTTTGAGTTCAGTTGTAATCATGAGTGATCCTTCATATTTTATTTATTAAAATTGTTCATTCAAGTAGGAAGTATGTTGAAATTTTGCCAATATCTTAATAAAAACCCAGCAATTTAAAACCACTAGTCATTTGTCTTTTTATTCAAAGGAAAGATAAGTTATTTAGTGCTGAGATTTAGACTGATTGCCTCAGAACTGAAAATAAACTCCCGAGGTGGTAGTTTTCTTAAACTTTAAAGTAGGAACATTTAAAAAGAAAATTTTCTAAGTGCTGCTATAACTGTTATTTCCTCCCCAGAAAACACAGAAGAGAGAGATTTCATCTTATATATGTTCTTCCCGCAAGTTTAATAGTGAGAAGGGGAGACAGAGGGGTTAGTGTCCTAAAATAGACAAAGACCTGCCAAGGGCTAAGTGTTGACTCCTCAAATCTCCCAGCTACTTTATTGTTCAAACTCTGCATCCAACCAAAGTTTTTTCCTCTCACTTAGTCTTTCCTCTTTTAAACTGGAAGAAAGAAAATAATCAAGTGAATTGTGGTTGAAGAAAGTCTGTCTGGAGGACTGCTGTTAAGAGAGTAACAGGAGATAGAAAGAGACAGAACGGAGAATATGGGGGACAGAAGTGAAGCTGATAAAGCAAGATAGCTGCATCTGAGGGAATGGAATTAAACCCGAAAAACAAGTAAACCTAGTAAACACACTGCACTGTTACCCTCCTCTCCCCAACATTAAGTCCTAGAAAATTGATTTCACATAATTAGAACAATCTTAAACTCCTAATTCCCTAAATACATTCAGCACTTTGTATGATTTTACATAGAACCCAAAAAAGCAAGAATTGAGGGAAAAAAGTGAGGAAAGAATCATATATCTGAAGGGGTGTGCTGAAGCAGGAAAAGAAAGAAAAGGAATATGTTGGCAATAAGTATTATTTATATTTGAAAAAATCCCCTAAAATATAGAATTACTTAGTTCAAAAGGAACA